TAAACTTATATTAAACTTTTTGATAAAAACAAATAGTCCACTAAGTTTAGTGGATAATGAATCTTTTAAAAAGATGATCTATTATGCAAATAGTAATCTGAAAGTTTGGTGTAGGCAGACCGTATCCAAAAATTTAGACAAAATTTATAATATTGCCAAAATTCAACTAATAAAAAAATTTAATAATGTTAAAAATAAATTTGCCTTAACTAGTGATATATGGACTTCCCATAATGGTTCAGCTTACTGTTCATTAACACTTCACTACATCAACGATGACTGGAATATTATAAACATTGCCCTAGATTTATTATCGTTCGCCCACCCACACACGGGGGATGATATATCATCACTTTTGATAACCTCCATGAATGGTTTCGAATTTAAAAATAATATAATATCTATAACGCATGATAATGGCGCTAACGTGGTAAAAGCCGTAGAAATAATTAAAAAGTATTATCATTTAAATTATGAGACTGTTTTATATAGTCATCGTTGTATGGCACATATCCTTAACCTAATCGTTAATGAGGGCTTCATATTTTTGGACGATAAATTGGAAAATATAATGGCTTTCGTTTCCAGGTTACATGTGTCGCCTAAGTTATTGCAAACATATCAATCCTTTAATGGGGCTACAAAAATACCTCTTCCAGTGAAAACAAGATGGAATAGCATATATCTTATGATAGCAGCCATTAATAAAGTATAAAATAAAAATATTTTTGTATATTTATAATATTATTTCTTTTTATATCTATTTATAGAATATCAAGGCAATACAACATCTCAGTGAGCTTGGATTAATTGAAACCAATTTGGCTCCTGAGAATATAGAATTCTTCTCAAATTTAGAAGAATTTCTAAAGCCTTTTTATCAAATAACAGTTGAAATAAGCTCGCAGCTCCCAACAATAGGGATGGCGATATTGTTTTTCAACGATATTCTGGAGAATTTAAAAAATCAAGAAATAGGTAATTCTGATGCTTCAATACGAGAAGCAGCAACATCTATGATAAAAAAATACGACGAATATAGCCAGCATATATTAACACCAAACAACTATGCTGCATCAATACTGGACACTAGGATTAAAAATACATTAATCACTAATTTAAAGGAAGATGCAGCAATTAAAAATATGGCTATATTCAAAGGTATTTATTCAAAATATACGACGGAGCCATTTGATGAGTACTCATTCAATAATAATAACAATCCTTCCAACCTTAAAACTATTTCATTATTGCAGGGATTGAAAAGAAGGTATATTTGTAATATAATACATTTTGATAGAATTAATTTAAGTGATATATTTTATGATTTTTATTTATTTAAAATTTATCTCTTTAGAAAAGTATCATCAAATGGCGATAGTGACAATCAAATAAACACCTATCTTCTTGAGCCGGTAGCGCCCGAGACAACTAACGTGCTAGATTGGTGGAGAGGGAATGAAAATCGATTTCCTCATTTAGCTAAGATGGCGCGAGACTTTCTATGCCAACAAACAACTTCCGTGGCATCGGAAAGAACTTTTTCTCTTGCTGGAAATACTATTACTAAATTGAGGAACAGGATGGCTCCCTCCACCCTAAAACAATGCATATCGCTATCATCTTGGGATATAAATATAATGGGCCTTCATGACGATATATGGCAATAATTTGTTAGGCATAGTAATAATTTATTTTTTACTAAATAATTATATTTTTCTAAATATATTTAATAATAATTTTATATTTTAAATATTTTTTAGGCTGGAGTCTATATCCACAAGCAAGATGAGATGCATTCGATTCGTGTTTATGAAAAAATTATATAAATATAATTAATATTGTATTTTATATTCTATTGTATATATTTTTATTTAAATCAAATTTTAAAAATAAATTTATTTCTACTAGCACTTCACCCCCATTTAGTATATATATATATATATATATATAAATATGCATGTTTCTTTCACGTGGACAAAGCCGCGAAATCAAAATAAAATATTTTTTTAAAACCAAGCTTAATAAGCTGACATTAAAATTAATAAAAAAGAAAAACTATTATACCAATCGAGGGGTAATAATGGTATATTTCTAAGAACAATTTTTTTCTACGCTCGGCCTTCCAACTCTGTCAACATATTAAATTTAGATAAAGCATGCTGATTTGATTGTTGTTAATAATTATGGCAAAGTTTAAAAATAATGTGTTCAAGAGATAATTGACGATATTATATTTATAACTAAGAAATGAAAAATAAATAAAATAAAACATTTGCAATTTATAAAAAAAATTAAATCAATTTATATAGTTTATTTTATATAATTAAAGTTAAATAACTTTTTAAATAAATGTGTTATTTATTATAATTAATTTTACAAACAAAAAAGAAAAAAGAGAATAAAAATAAAGCTTTGAATTATTAATTTAGAAGGTATAATAATATTAATTTAATTTAAGATTAGATATGAGATTTATTTTATCTTACTTTACATATATCTGAACCCCGTGTCTAGATTCCGGAATAAAAAATTTAACATATAAAATAATATGAACCTCGGGTCTGGACCCTAGGTCTGAACCCAGGGTCGACCTGAGCACAAAATTTGGTCGTAAATTTTACGACCAAGCAAATTAACAACACTATGATATAGATCGAATTTCCTATTTGATATATCATATCGTATGTGAGTTAAAGAGGCTGTGTGTGAAATATATTAAATAAAAAACTAGTAATTACCTCAATTATATGGATCTTGTTTTGTTATTTAGTTTGAAGAACCATTTGAAAAATAATTATTTAAGTTAAATTACAGGAAGTTTTTAAAAAATAACAAAAATTTTCTCAACAATTTCTTAAGTTTTTAATAGTCATTTATTTTTATAAATAAAATCGAAATCCATATTTTTTTAATAATAATAATTAATTAATCATTCTGTCATATTGTTATTTTTATGCACATTCTGTTTATAAAAGTTTGCGATAATCTCTTCAGAATCTTTTTTTAGTGAATTTGGTGATATTAATTAACTTGACAGTTAACATCGCCGTAAACGTAAATTGATTTCTGATAAATAAGTAAATTTTGGTATTTCCAATAAGAAATCTTCGATTTATTAATCTTAAATATTGTTTAAAATTTTATTCAAATTTCATATTATATATGTTTATTATTTATTATATATAGATTAATGTTACTTATTTATATAAAAGTTATTTAACAATAAAAATATTTTATATACTTTTAGAATTGCAATAGAATTGAATATAAACTATAACTGATCATTATAATATATTTAAATAACATAAAAATTAGATATGATATCGGATCGGTAATCGGTCGATATCAATTTAATATCGGATCGGATAGGCCTCCAAAAAGTGATATCGGTATACACCTACTTAAAACCCAAATTTATTAGTTATACCTTTAAAACCCGTGGTGATCCTGGATAGTTGACATCCCTTTAAAAATTATGACATATATATTATTGGGAATATAACTTTAATATAATAAAGAAAAACTTTTTATTGGCCATTATTTTATCACAAATTATAAATTTACATTTCTTTTTATTATTTATACATGCATGAATGACGTTGAATTTTTATATTGGTCCTCCACATTAAATTACAATATCAATATGTGTTAAAATAAAATTTTACTTTTTTATTTTTATTCCGTCATGCATGGGCTACTCTTTTTGATTATTTATTACATATATTTTTATTTTACCATATAAATTTTTTATCAAAAGAAAGAAAATGGTAAGAAAATAATAATAAAAAAAGCTTTATTAATTTAGAATGAATAAGATAAGAAGAATAAGATTTAATTTAAGATTAGAAAATGAAATATTTTTTTTTTACTTTTCATTTATCCGAGCCCAACCCCAAGGTGTAAGTCTGGACCCCGGGTCTGAACCCCGAGTCTGAACCCCGGGTCTGGACTCCGGGTCTGAAATCCGGTCGGATTAATTTTTAAATAATAAAATCAAATCTAAATATAATAGTTAATCGAAATTGTTCATAGGACTATCAAAAAAATTTATTTTTTAGTTGAAGAGGCCATTAAAAAAAATTTCTCTTCAGGGGGCTATACAAATTTTTTAGGGGGCTCGAGTCCGTACGCGCCCCCTCCTATTGACTCCACTGGAATAATATTTAGCATTTTAGCAATATTTAATAAATTACACAATATTTATTTTGTTTGTAATTAAATAATAACAAGTAACAAAATTATAAGAAACAATATTTATAAATTATTTATTGCATCGGTATCCCAGTTATTTTGAATTAAAAAATGTCTAAGGCTGGTACCACCCTGTTTCGCTTTTTCGTCAAAAATAAATAGCCTTGTTGAAAGCAATCTCAATCAAAACACTTGATGTTTGTCAAGAAAGTTGAGCTCAAATGCTGTATTTCATCCACCAATCTAAAGAGTTAGTTTAAGTAGATACCAAAGGTTCTTCGAGATAATCCTTATTGATGATTCAAAAATAAATTATAATATAATAAAAAAATAGACTAACAAATTGTGCCGATTATTTATTCAAATCTAAATACTACTTCACCATAATAGTACCAAGATGAGCCTCGACTCGTGACGTTCGCGTTAGCTAAGCCGACGCTCAAAATACATTCCTTTTAATAATTATATTGGTTGAATCTTCAAAAAACCTATCTAATATTATTCTATAGAGTAACTAGTAACCTTTTATGACCTAATTAGTATTAAAAATGGTAAATAGGTACTTTCAAAAGTAACATCTAGCAATACTAACAAATTAAAAATACCTAAGAACACCCTATATGTATATAGAATTATGGAATGCTCCCTTTTATGGGATTGCCTAATATGTGATACAATACGCACTATGAATAGAACTTAAATAATCTAATTTAAAATATTTTTATTATCATAATAGAATATATAATTCATGATATGTTTTTATTTGTAATATGTCAGATATGACAAGTCATGTAACAAGTTACATGGCATCATTTAGATTTTACATTTATTAATTATGGAAAATGGTAATTATTTAGCATCGCAGGAGTCGTCGAATAATTCACCTACACTAAAATATTTTAATTTTTTTTTCTTGTCATCTCAAGTGATGCATATTATAATGCTAGTTATAATTTTTATATAGATACTTGGAGTTTTAGCCGTGATTATAACTGGAGCATGGATTAGTAAATTCAAAGGTGGTTTAGCTTGGCAAAGTGATCCAAGCAAAGAGTTCAATTATCACCCATTATTTATGGTCATTGGATTTATTTTCTTGAACATGGAAGGTATCCTATGTTACATTATATTATTATTTTATTCACATATATGTTCAATTGTTGGTAAGGAAAAGACTTTAAAATTTATTAGAATAAATAAATATCATTAATTAACTTTTATTTTCTGTTTCTGAAATAATTTATAGCTGCTAATAATATTTATCTATTAACATTTTATAATAAAATCCTTATATTTTATTAAAGTTTTTAGGATAATTTTATATTAATCTATAAAAAAAAATAACATATTTATGATCAAAATAAAATTGATATATGGATTTTTAATTAATATTTCTTACAAAATTTGGGAACAACTACAGATGAAATTATTCCAGACTTTTATTAGCCTGACATTTAAAATTTGATAATTTGTGATAAAATTACTAATTTAATTCAGAAACTTCTACACTCCCTTAATACAATTATAATTTAAATAAAAGGTTTAGATTTGATAATTTATGATAAAATTACTAATTTAATTCAGAAACTTCTACACTCACTTAATACAATTATAATTTAAATAAAAGGTTTAGATTTATATCAATTAAACTTAATATCACTTTTATCATTTATGTCATTAATGAACAAACAGTACCATGATATCTTTTATCACTTCTAAAGATAACCTTTCGCCTTGACTCTTGGATATCCTTAGACCTGTGCACTGGCCGGCCATTTGGTTACGCCGGCGCACCATCGATTGTAATTTTTTAATGTCAATCAGGATTTTGATGAATTTTTATTTTCTACTATTTTAAAATCTTAATTATATTGACGTCATTATAGAATTCAATCAATCAAAAATCTAAAATTCCAAAAGTTACCATAATTTTACATATTTTTAAAATGGATGCATCTACTTTAATAATTTTAGTATCCTAACTCTGGATAATAAAAAATCCATAGTCTGGAAATTTTTTGCAAAAGAATTAAAGAAATTATTACAACTCTTAGATATAAAACTGCATAGGTTGAATTTGAATTCGAGGAATATCAAAGAAAATGCCTAAGAACAATAGATTTAACATCAGACATGTTAGATCTTGACAGCATTGATCCATACCCGGATACCCATTTTCAAATTGGCAATTCCAATGTTAATAATAACAATAATTCCACGCATATGAAAACCTTAAAATTAAATATCCCAACTCGTTGGCATAGTATATTAATTATGCTAGAAAGCATATCTGGATTAAATAAGAATTTAATTAAAAATGTTTTAAAAAGAATTGGGAAGCACTTTCTCAAATTATGAATCTGATCTGGTAGAAGAACTATAAACATTTCTTTCAAAATTTAAAGAAACTGTTGAATTTCTTTCAGCTGAATTTCTTTCAGTACAAAAAGGGCCTACTTTAAACTTGACGTTACTTTTTAAAAGTGAAATTGAAACACATTTAATATTAAATGATAGTGATAGTTCTAAAATTATTTCACTTAAGGAAAATATACTAAAAAAACTTGTGTTACGATTTCCGGTTTGTAATCTACAAGTAATATTATATAAGTATATTCTTTTATTTAAAATTATCTAGGTATTGACTTCTCTTTTAGATCCAAGATTTTAAAAAATGACAATTGTGTCAAAGTATTTAATAGAGCAAAATTGCTCAGCTTCAGAATTTATAATAAAACATCTTAAACTTATAGAGAATGATGATAATCAGGTAGTAAATATAGCTAATGAGGATGAATTATTAAATTCAAGTTATTTGACAAAATTGGCAAATAAACATTCAACAAATATAAATTATGATTCCAAGTTAGGTGACTTAGAACAAGAATGCCACAGTTTTCTTGGAAAACGACATTGACAAGATATGGACGTTCTAAATTTTTGGAGAGAAAAGAAGAGTGAACTTCCCAATCTTTCCAAGCTCGCCAAAAAATTCTTTGCATTCCGGCGACTAGCACACCTAGTGAAAGAATTTTCTCTACCGCTGGATTGACGTTAAATTCAAGGAGATCATCATTATGTCCCAAAAATTTAAATAAAATGATTTTTATACATGATAATTATAAAATTACGAAATCGATTTTGGATATAATAAGTTTTCTATTAAATGAATATTAAAAAATATGCAGAGATATCTTTAGAATAGTGTATATTTATTTTATTTTTTTTAAAATAATTAATAAGCAATTAAAAAAATTTATATATGCGCCGATTTTATTGACGGCGGCTAAAAATCGGCGCGCCGCCGGCCGTCGATTAGATTTTTTAAAAATTGCGCCGGCGGCCGATATTTCGTCGGCGCACGGGTCTAGATATCCTTAATTTTATCTGAAGCTGTTTTACCCACCATTTTAACACATCAATTAATTTTTTAATCTTAAATTTTTAAAAACACTCATTTAACCCCCCATTGGAATATATTCAACTATTACAAAATGCTGATTTTACCAGGGGCTATGAATAGTTAGATTCATTTCCAAGTTGTAATTTAGATAACCTTATCAGATGAACCAAAAGAGTTGCCATAGGCCATCAAATTGGATGTAACATAGTTCAACCACATACATGCATAAAATATAAAATATCGGTTGATTTCAAAGGAAAACAGGGTCTTAGTTAGTGTTGTTAATTGACTAAATTTTTTGACTAACAGACGACTAACTAATAGTTTTAGTCGAAAAATTTGACTAAAAATTTTATCTACTAAGCCACTAAATTAGTCTGTCGACTAAAACGACTAATTTGGTCGACTAAAGCAACTAATTTGATCGACTAAAGCGACTAATTTAGTCGACTAAGTTGATCTATTGAGTCGGCTTAGTCGACCAAATTAGTTGTCTGTTTAGTCCACTCATTTAGTCGGCTTAATCGAATAATTTAGTCATCTAAATATAATTTTTGAGGCATTCTGAACCTGCATCACTGTATAGTCAGGGTTAGTGTTGTTAATCTAGTTCTTCTGACTAGTGTTGTTAAACGACTCGTTTTGAGTCGATTTTTAAAAACGGCTAACTCAATATTTTAGCTAGAAAAATATTTCCTAAGCCTCGAGATTTCGTTGACAGGAGTCTAAACCTTTGGGTCATCTATGAACAAACTCAGCAGGCTTGTGCAATATTATTCTGGATAGTTAGCCGTTTTTAAATAGCGAGTCATTTAACAACACTACTTTCGACTACTTGAGATATCAGAGAAGATGTAAAAAAGTAAAGTGACAATTGTCATAATCGTTATTTTTAATCTTTTTTGAATTTTTTTAAAGCAAATAATAGGTATTCACCCTCTATTGTGGACATCATATTTGAATACACACACTATAAAAAAGGTATAAATTTTAATATAAAATTTTTTACAGTTTAATACACATGATGTAAAATAGATACACATATATTTTATTTATTTCTATAGTACCATTTTTATTAAGTTTAATTACTTTAAATAATTCTTAAATATTATTATATTTTATAATAATTATGAAATTAAATATGATTATTATAATATGAAATTAAATATGATTATTATAATATTCATGTTTTTTTAATAATAAAAATTATATGCTATTATGAATTTTATTAGTTGTAATTTTATAATTTTTAGATATAATTATGGTTCCCTTTTGAGAACACTATTATGAAATAAATAAATTATTCATTACGCGATTAAAATTATATAAAAATTATTCTAATCATCATGTGAGATGAGGCTGCCAATGAAGCTGATGTAATTGGCCCTGTGAATTGCTATGGCGAGTCTTTGTCTTAAGAAGAAGGAGGTTCATCTGTTAGTTTGTGGATTAGTGATCCAAGTTCCTTGAAGAAAGAAAGAGCACGATTTCCAAAGGTAGTCAAGGTAGTGGAAATGATGGGAATGAATAAGTGATCTTGGGATATCTCTGAATATTTTGCAATTTTTAGAAGCTCCTTGTTCTCCAGAATGTTAAGGGATTGATTGGGAGGAGCCAATGGATCAAAAGAGTAATCCCAGACCAAGAATTGACCTCGCTTCCAGGGAATTTGAGAGATCCCGTCAGGGCGTTTCCCATCAGATCTGAAAAGACCAGAGGGTTCGAGAATAGAAGGAATTTGAGCGGATCTCAGAGCTCTAAGAATTATAGAATTGCAAATGTTATGTCTAACGATGCGGCCTTTACATGAACGACAATATAGAATATGCCTTCCATTACTCAAAACAGCAGAACTGCAGCCGGCACAGATGTGGGGTTGGGTTACTATGCAATTTAAACGGATGCCTATTGCATGAGTTAGCTCATTTTGGGTTAATTGTTATTGTAAGTTCGCGGATGGAATGGCTTCGAGAAACTCATGTCCAGAACCATTAAGCAGAGAGGAGAATAAGGGACGGTCCAATGATTGCATACTGGAAAGGAGAGATTCGACGCAGCTTGCAATAATGGGCTTATCCCAGTCCCTCTGCTTGTTCGTTTCTGGAATTGGGTGGTCGGCAATGAATCGAGATTTCCATTCAATGATGGCACTATCAAAGGAAGGGTCAGAATTTTAAGAATTAGGATTGACTAAATTTTTGGTTAAAAGACAGCTTTATATAAAGGCAGTTAAGGCAAGATCGGAAGGGGATCTGATGCCTAGTCCTCCCATCTTGGTAGGAAGGGTGGCTTGTGTCCACGCTAATTCATGGAATTTTAGATTAAGGATACTTTCAATTAGGACTTTAATCCCATTTTCATAAATGCCTAAGGAAGTGGGAAATTTAAAAATAGGGGTAGAGCGGAGCGCGTAAAGAGTTTTTGGGATATTGAAGAAATTTTTCAGGAGAAAAAAGGTTTTTTAGAGGGGAGAAGGGAAAATAAGTCAGCCAACTCATTAAGGGTTTCGAGTGTAGATTGTAGGAAGGATGATATGGCTATGTGTCCACCAACGGGAGCACCTAAGTGAGATAATTCCTCCAGAGTAATCTGTTTTGAAATTATGAAAATTGTTTTCAGATGAATTAATTGGAATGAATTCTGATTTTTCATGGTTGATTGATAGACCAATGGATAGCCCTGCATCCTTGATTATCATTACAGCTT